GGACAGATGCACAGAATTCCTCTGGTGCCGACAGGATCTAGAAGAGTCCAAGGAGTCTGGGCTGAGAAGTGAACCATCTGCTGCGAGATGATCTGAGACGTTTCTGATTGTTTGAAACATTTCTTACATGATTTAAACTTTTAAAAATTAAACCTCTGACCTGCCAAATAACCCTCCTCTGGCTGAGGAGTGATGTGTAAGGCACCAACGCACCCCTATACCATCAGAGAGGCAGACTATTGACCTGAGCTTAGGTAGGATTTAGGAAGAAAGCGTTGACATTTTAAGTTTTACAAACTTTACGTAAGAAATCTCCAGGGGCCGAGTTAAACAAGGGGGCCAAAACTCAAACTTGTTCCAGGCCAGGGGCCAATTTTTGTCTATTTATTTAAAAATGTTCTCTAACAAATAATTCTTATAGAAATACTTGACCTTATCTAAATAATGTTTTATGTAACATTAAGAACCTACATCACCTGACGGGTAAATAAAGATTGAATGTAGAAAATCTCATCTCATTTTTATCAACAACTTTTTTTATTTATTATTTTATTATTTCTTAGAGAAACATTTGATCACAATCCAGCAAATCAGGTATAAAAAAAAAAGAAAACTTGAGGAAGAAAACAAAGAATCCAATTATTTAATTTTAAAATAAGAGAAGAACAGCAAACTAATTAAATTTCTGTTGCATTTTTCCACAACAAAATCAAAGATCACTGAAAAATTCACTTCAGTTTCTTGTCTTGATGAGCTGTCATCAGAAGAATCCAGTGACAGAAACAGAAACCATTAAACTATTTGAAGGGTTACTTTTGGGGCCAGAAAAAATGGTAACGAGGGCCAGTTTTGGCCCACGGGCCTTGAGTTTGACACTTAATGTAGAATTAATCTATTAAGCAAAACCGCTTTTTCCATTTTCTATTTTTTTTAACTTCTATTAACCTAAGATCTGTCAGTTGAACCTGCACATGTTTGGTATCAATAGAAAGCTAAGAATCTTGGCTAAAAGCTCATGGAAACTATTTACTTTCACCAAACACAGTTCAAATGACAGGCAGTTGAATCAGACAATAAACAAACTACAAAATGGGATTATTGCAAATCTGTAAAAACATTACAATAAATCTGTGAAGGAAACATTTTTCAAAGCAAGTGAAAGCAGATAAATATGTTGTAAATTGTGTTGAAAGTTTTTTTTACTTGATTCTGAGTAAATATGATCCAACTGAAATGATTTCTTATTTTATATAATATATGGTGACAAATAAATGTTTGGATAATTTTTCAAAAAAACAAACATTTAATAACAAGTCTTAGGCCAGGTAAGAAAAAATAACTTTTGGACATAAAAACTTAACATTTATTAATGGAACCATCATGGTCTGTCCTGTGCAGAAAGACAAAATGTAAAATTATTTCTTTACTAAAACCTCTGTAACTTTGCTCCAGTTAATTTTAGCAGCATGGATCTTTGCACAGGTGATGTTCACAAGTGGGTTTATGGTTTCCAAGAGTTTTTAACCTGATTCATTATGGTTTTAAATAGGTTATATACTGTCTAATAAAAAAAACATTAAAAAAATTCTGTTCCATCCTCAGTATGTCTAAAACCACAGCAGCTGTTTTAATATTTACACTTCTAATAAAATCTCCCAAGTGTTGCTTTATTATATATTTATTATTGAAGCAGAGTTTGTAAATGCTGAGATACACTCAGTTACATTTCAGCATGGGATTATGAGCAAAAACATAAAATCCCTTGGGGCTTAAGAGGTTAAAAAAATAAAATCTCAGTAAACTGGAAGATGTGGCCTGAGGGGTACCTCAGATTTGGACCCGTCTGGCCTCAGAACCACTCATGAGCTTTAGTCCAGAGGAAATGACATCAGCCGTGGATGGTGTTTGCCTGATAGAGCTTTAATCTGTCTGTTTGTTGAGAAACTTTATTCTGAAATTATTCGTCCGTTTTGAGCCAGTTTGTCACAGAGCTGAACCTCTGCCTCTTTAATAATGAAACATAATTAGTTACAAAAAGCTGCCAAAAATTCAACATTTCAGTTTTTATCTAAAACTTAAAATTTCTTTTTTTTAAATCCTGATTTATTGTAAATAAAATGTGTGTTTGTGAGATTTAAATCCAGTTTATATTTAGATTGAATTCGGCCGTGTTCGGTTCTGGTACTTGTGTCGGGATCAGCTTCCGCTCAGACTCTGTTGGGCGGTCCGGAACCGTGAAACGGGTCAGGGCGGTAAAAGCTGGAACCGTTTTGCTTCTTGGAGAAGTATTTCAGTCCGCCGGCTCGAAAGGAGAAGTGAGATGTGGGATTCTGGCAGGGCCAAAATATCCCTCTCATGCAAAT